CATTTAAGATGGTTAAAACAAACATTCTTAAAATATCTTGATTCTTGTCAGGGAATAAATCACAGTTAAACAGTTGGTCACATTATAAATGTCAATTATTTTAAATAAAAATCTGATTCACTTCAGTATTTTTCAATGTTTACCTGATAAATTAAACCTTGAACGGCCTCGCCCTCTTTCAGCCAGGTGATGGYTGGTGTAGGGTTGCCTTTAGCAACACAATCCAGCAGGATGGGACTTCCAACCAGGGCCTCCATCATAGGAGGCGGAGCTTTGATGAAGGTGGGAGGAGCTGTGAAAAATAAATGTTAAAAAAATGCATTAAAATTAATATAATTATAATAAAGCAATGATTATAAAACAGGTTGAATTGTGTAATGTAATTTTCTTCTTTCCAGAACAAAAAGTCTTTTATAAAAACCTACATTTCTTTTTTTTAATGTTGAGGTCTTTTGTTTTTTTAATCCTGCAGCCTGAGCGGGGCACCGGCAGCCTTATTTATTGAGGAAGAGAGCAGAAAGCAAATGAAGCTCATACCTGCGGGGCATGTCACGGAGGGCCTGCAGAACACCGTCAGAATCCATCATCGTTCTCATCTCTAACCTGAATCTCACACAGACCGGCTCGCAGAAGCTGCCTCACTTTGGCTTTGATCTGCGCCGCGCCGATAATTTCTTCTGTTCGTTTGTGCGTGGAGTGATAGCAAAAGGTTCGCCAAAAATACAGATAAACTTCAAAGCCCCCCGGAAAAAATAATGATGCATATTTCATATCAAGATTTAATATTTAAACTTATCAACAAGTATGATGATAACTCCACAGCGGTCGGCCATTATTTCTCCCAGAACCGCTGAGGAAGGRAAGTCACGGGTTATTAACCGTTTTTCATATTTCCTGATCCTTATGGAAAGTTTCAGACGCTTGATGAAAGTTCTTTAATAAGAACAGTTTTTAAAAGTTTAAAGATGGGTGCAAATAAAACCTGTCCTGATTTGAGGCTTAAACAAAACTGATTCTGCTGAATAAATGAAATATAAGACGTGTGGAGGTAGTTTGGATAACTCAAAAAGCACTTATCCTTTTGATTTTCTACCTTATAAATAAAATACATCCTTTGGTTTAGAGTGAGAGATAACCACAAATAATGTTGGATCAAAACAATGTGCTTCTAATAAGCAGCAAAGCAACTCTTTCAGGGAGGTGATGGTTTCTTTTAACGTTAAAGTGTCATCATCTCAGTCACTTAAAAAGTGAATAAAATCTAATTTAATACAAATTCAGCTTTTGTACAAGTTGCTGTTCAATGCCAGTGATAACATGAAATACAGATAAGCTCAATTGGCTTTATTTTGAAACAAATCTTTAGATTTTATTTGATATTTTGCAGTGACACAACCACACAGGTCAGGCATGGGCAACTGGCGGCCCGCAGGCCAAAACCAGCCCACAAGTGACTTCTGTTCGGCCTGACAATGAGGCCCCGCCTTTTTCTTTRCTTTGTAATTACAAAGTTTGGCACTAGATGGCGCCTCCAACACAAACCCCAGCTCACGCACACCTCTTCTCTACAAGTGAGTAAGAGTCATTCAGCCAGGGCTGAAAACGGAGGAAAGAGAAAACTGGACAGAAATAATCTCAWGTTTCAGGTGAATTTTTTGGGTTATTTTTATTTTAGGGTTTTACTTTGAGAGGTAGACTACCTGTTGACAGAATTTCAAGGCAAACCTGTGTTGACACTGTCTGCCATGAAGGATTTTAATACAAGTCACTACAACGTGTTGCACAAAGCTAAATATAAGTCCATGGAAGTAATGAGTACATAAATAACAGACTTTTTACCAGAACCAGGCAGGAGTCTGAACTCAATGTGTCTTGTGCCGTTGCACTTCAGCTCGCTAAAGTAAGAGTTTAATTTTGTATACTTCAAACCTTTTGTATTTATATTTATTAAACAAAATGTACAACCGTTCTACATGCATTTGAGCAAGAAATATGTTTAGTTTCATGTAGTGTTTAGTCATAGGAGTCCTTTTGTTATTTCTTATTTTTAATTTGTTTTTGGTTTTCTTGTCGCAAATATGGAGATTGTTCAAGTTTCAGTTGTTTGTTTGAAGCTGTTTTTTAATAAAGGGCAGATATTAGATTTTCTTCATTCAATAACGGCACTGTATGTTGTTTTAATAAAACAAACATACACAATAATCTTGACTGTTCTGCAGAAATACRCAACTGCCTCACTGGTAAACCTTTTTACATTCGGAGTGTGCAACGTTGTGTTCCTCTGGTCAAGTCAACAAAACAATCATGGTCCTTTCCATCATTTAAGTTGCCCATCCCTGTCATAGATAGGGGTGTAATGAAATATTGATACACTGAAATATCGCGATATTTCA